CGTAAGGAGAAAATGGAATTGAGAAAAACAAAGTACAAACACCAGCTTCCACGTTAACATACAACTATACCAACGCAGTCTTTCAATGAAAAAACAATGAATTCATTCAGCAATTATGATTAAAACCAAAACAATTCCACACATGGACCTGACTTCAGATTATTTCACTTTTGCTTACAAAACATTTGCGATTTGTTTCCTCAAAAGAGAAATTCAAACATTAGAAATAACAACAAAGGAAAGCAATTCTTTGAGCCTCAAAGTCCTCGTATATTTATCCCTGATCCCAGGTGATCCCAATATCTCACTTTTGATCCCCATGAGACACTATTATGTGGTTCAAACACCTAAGACTAACCTCTAGCAGTTTTCCAAACTTTGGGCTTGTCTTGACCTCCCGACAAGCTGCTGTTGCATTTACAACACTCTGAAACACAATAAAAAATTAGAATACTGATTTACAAACAAATAGGACAAATTAAGATRGACGTTTTTATTATAAAGAAGATTCAAGAGCGACAGTTATWAATTCAATCAACTCACAGGTTTTGTGTCTGTCATTTCTTCAGGAAATTGCATCATAAACAACATAATTTTTAAYCTGTTTTCAAGATTCTTGATATCACTTAACTGCAAAATGATAAATATCAAATCATCAATATGTTAAGAAATTCATAACAATAAATCTAACATAAGTACAACGTTTGCTGATAATTAATTAATGAATTTAAAAATTAATAATTGTTGCAATTAATATAAAGATATGCTGCAATTAATAAAAAAATACTATAAAAAATACTTACAAGACATGCAAACTGTTCTGGTTCACTAAGTTCATGTATTTTTTCTCTCATGTTCGATAACTGTTCCATCTAGAACACAAATGACAATATGGATATAATATTAACTTCCATTACAAATTAAAATAATTAATGAAGAGAATCGCTATTTATAAGAATGACCAATATCWATTACAGTCAGAAATATTCACAGTAATTGCAGAAAGGACGACATTGGGCCAAATAAGCAGAGTGATTTAGCAAGATTTAKTGCTTTGTCAAGACAAAAGACAAAGTGTTTAGCTTTAAATGGCGTTTTTTGTCTTTGACTTTGGTTTTAGTCTGTTACCTGGTCTGCTGAAGGGAGGTATTTCAGTAACGATTCAATAGCACTAGTATCAAGCTTTTCCTGATCACAATGCAGAATATACTTTTTGATATCTTCATGGCTTGCTTTCAAAGAACCCAGGAAAATGGCTGCCGATAAAACCATAAATGTGGCAACATTAATGCTTATAAATTTGATGAATTTAAATAAAAAATTGACAACAGCAAGACTACAATATTTGACATTATAATTTAGATTTAATTTGTACAAATATTATACAATTGATTCAGTTTTTAAGCTTCCAATCCAGACACAAAAGCAAAAACAACAACAGTTTTAATTGACAGCAGTCCATTGCTAATGGCACTTCATGACCTATATTTCTGGAAGTTGCTTTCAATAGTCCTTTTGCATGACACAGTCACATGGTACAAAATCCACAATGCTGGATAGCAAAAAAAAAAAAAGAAAAAAAATGGGCTGCATTCCTTTTGTTTTTGAGGTCGTTTACATTCTTTTGCCATCTTGTATGGTGGATTTAGTACCATGTTTCCGTTTCATGTAAAAAACCTTTTTGCTGAAAAAAAAATTAAGGAGACTTATAGTTGGTAATTCAATCTGAATCTATTGCTTTGGTTCTCTACCAACAAATAACATACTAACCAAGTTGCACAGATCAAATGATGGTAATCAAAACATCTTGAGGAGAAGATATCATTCCTTATCATTCCTACAGTCATTAACTGGGTAAAGCAATTTACTTACACATATTTTGAGCACTTTTTGCATCTAATACGGTCAGCTGTTTAACCTTCTTCTTCTGCACAGGTTCCTTTTCCTGTCCATCTGCTTTATCCAGTTTCTTTGCACTTTTAGCAGCAAATGTCTTTGAGAGTTCTTCAAAAAGATCCTTTCGTTCAAGTTTTTCCTCTTTTGCTTTTGCCCAGAAGCAATTTTCTGTTAGATTYCTATTATTAATCTGGAAAAGACCAACACATATTGTTTTTAATATATTTATCTCCTACTTTTGGGAGTAAAACATTTAATATGACAAAATACAACTAAAAAACCTGTAAACAATCTAAATATCCTTCTTAGCTGCAGTATATACCAGTTTTTTCTTAAAATATATGTCATGTAATACCTTATTCCAGTTAGCTCTCTTGGTTTGTACTTCTGGTTTGTATTTCTTTTTAGGAGCAATGCCAGCAGGAAGRTTCATTCCTGGTGGTGTGAATGGTGATGGCATACCAGGCATACCAGGAGGACGTGGTGGACCCATACCAGGAGGAGGTGGTGGCGTTCCCATTCCAGGTGGTGGTGGTGGTGGAGGAGGCCCTCCTCCTGGTGGGGGTGGAGGWGGTGGTGGTGGTGCACCTCCCATACCAGGGGGTGGAGGAGGAGGAGGTGGAGGTCCCCCTCCTATTCCTGGTGGCGGTGGTGGAGGTGGTGGTGGTGCTCCACCAGGMGGTGGTGGTGGTGGAGGTGGCCCTGCTGTGAAATGATGACAATATTGTGTTACCTTACACACTATCCTGTACCTGACTATGGTTTCATCAACWMYAATTGTCTGGTTTAGTCAAGGTTTAATGTTTTAATACTCAGATTTTATTTAAAAATATATTTAGTATTTTATTWGCAAACTTTTTAATGTGAAGATATTTAGTGAGAGTGGTTTAATTCTTTAAATATTTATAACTCAAAGAGAGGCAAAAACAGTGCATGCTCTGATTGCAAGTGCAAGACGTGCAGAATTGCAAATCACTCACTTGTTGGAGTACCATCTTCRGTTTCAGTAGGATGAGACACGCTACTGATAGCATATGATGATGATGATGAAAGAAATGCTGATGATTGTGAGGTTAGAGATGATGGATGAGCTGGAAGAGATGTTACACAAGATATGCTAGCATTAGTGCTAGTTGCATTAGTATTAGACATGCAAGCAGAAGGCAATGGAGGAGAGGATTCTAACAAAGAAGGTGAAGGGTGGAGAGAACTGTGAGAAGTGGATTTTAGGGCTGTTGACTGAGGCTGTGATTGTGATGATGGTAGGGTTGGTGGCTGTGTTTGTGATGATGATTGTAATTGTGATGATGATGATGATGGTGACACAGGTAGTGGTGGAGGAGAMGGTGTTCGTGAAGGCAATAATGCTTGTGGTGCTRGCAATGGTGATGWGGTAGATTGTGATGGAAGTGCTTGTGTTGTCTGAGGTTGTAATGATGTTAATGTTGAAGAGATTRGTGGTGGTGTCGGCAATGATGACATTGATGATGACAATGATGATATTGTTGCAAGTGACAATGATGATGATGGAGAAGGCACAGGTTTGACACTATGAAAATCATAGTCTTTCAYATCAAGGGACATTTGTGAAGCCACTAGTGTATCAGAGGATGATGACAGCAATGACGTCACTGACTGCGAAGGTGATGGAGACATTGGTGGTGTTGTAAACTCTTGTGCTGAGCTAAATGAATCTGGAGAGGAAGGTAATTCAGGAGAAAGCTGCCCATGTTGTTCTTCCTCTGAATCAAGATGGAATGAGAACTGGTCAAGTGATAATGTCTCTGAAGGAATAGTGGATACTGAGGATYCAAAGGAACCYAGAGAATCACACAGTCCTGAGGCAAATGACTGAGGAGGAGTGATGGGTAAATTCTCTGGATAACCAAAAGGAACTGATTGAGCTCCAGTAGAATCCAAAGGAAAGTTTGTCAGTATTGAAAAAGGTTTCTTTGATAGGTGAGGAACTGATGAAGAAAGTGGAGAAAAGGGTGGGAAATTAGAAAAGGTTTGAAGTGATGCAGATGGCGAGATACCTTTTGTGTCAAGTTTTAAAGAATGAGAGAAATCAGAAGGATGTTCATCAAATGAAKAAGAAAGCCTGAGGGGTTCAAGTGTCCTCACACGAGACTTAGGTGGTGCAACACCTAGCATTCTGTTTGGGACTGAACAAAAACACAACATTACAATATAATTTATAATAATTATATTATTTTACATAAAATAAATYGATATTTTTAGCACTGAATTCTGGTATGAACCTTTATGTTTTACAGTTTATGTGTAATTTTTAGGTGTATTGACTTATTTTATCACTTTCGTGAGTTTCTTTTTTTTTCTTTTTTGTGACTTATTATTGTAGTTAACATATATACAGTGTTTGTCTGGCCAGTAATTATTTCATAGTCTACACTGGTGGCAGTTTTCATTTAGGGACCTTCAGGATGAAATTTCAGAGACAAATAATTTCTCAAGTTCTGTTACAGAGCTCAACAACTCAACCAACATGTCAATTCAGTTTCAATAATCTGTGCCTCTCAATGTATTCCATACTTTCAATCAAGGCCATAGCCACATGAGGTTTAGAATGTTCCAGTTTGTTCTAGTTTTCTGGGATAACACTAACAATCAGTGTTACTAATATTATACTAATGGCTCCTGAAACCAGTCCCAACTGCACAAGTGGCTATGACTCTGTCRCTTTTATTAGAAAAAAATTAAACAAGATTTCAAAAAATAAACTTTTATACAAAAATATAATTCTTACCTCCACCTCCCCCAGGTACAGCCTGTATAAAACAACAAAAAAGTAAATTAKRGTAATTATATAGCAGTAAAAGCTAAGCACTAGTTGATGAACATYAAAAGTAATACACACCCCTCCTTTCTTTAACTCTTCTACTTGGGTTTCCAGTGTTTTTATTTTCTGTTCAAARTTTGTTGTTGTCAGATTGAGTTTTGCTTCACATTCTTGCCGCAGTGTAGTTTCTAATGCCAACTAAAGAAAGAAAAGCAAATTATAGTTTCATATTTATTGCAATAATTTGCAGCACAATATCAAATTTTCAGTACTTGTGTTTCTAGTTGTGAAGACTTTTCGGCTGCTTCTTCGTATTTCGCCTTTTCGACAAGTCCCTCTGAAGAGTAAGTAAAGTGCTTAGTTACTTAATATGGATCATTTACTTAGGCAAAGAGATCATTTGGGACCATTAGGGGTTAATTCTGTAGCCATAACTTACCTATTAATGGTTCTATATCAAGTTGAAATTTACGAGCACTAAAATCAGGATCTACACCACTACGATGAAGGACAATTTGTGATACACATTCTTCAATCAGTCTGTAGTACTGAGGCCTGTTGAACAAACATACTAGTAAGTATGAAAATTGACTATCAGAATTAAATTACTATCTGTAAAAAACATTTGAAAAAAGACTTTGTAGACACAATTTTGTTAGTGGAAATCATCTACTGGTTACTTATAGACTTCTGAACCCTTTACGTCACTACTTGATTTTCAATGCATTATGTGATCAATTGTTTAGAGAAAACAAACAAAATCTGCCATGTTCTGTCCCACACATATCCTACAGTCCACTGTTTATACAGTAACATGTAGTAAAAGCTTCAGATGTCTATTGATAGGTAAAAAGAAATAAAACCTTGAATGAACTTCTAGATCATAACTAGGTGAAGTTGAAGGAAATGGACCCACCTTGCATACACATCATCTCGCACAAGTAGTAAATGTTGTAATATAGACAGGAATAAAAGATCTGCTGGAGTATCTTGGACTAAGTTATTTAACACTTGAAATATTTCCACTGGATCTCTGTGAAAATGTTAAAGTTGAATAACAGCTGTCTATAAATTACTGAATGCGTTAATTTGTACCAAATGTTGACATGGTCAAAATGTAATGATTGATAGCACTATGACTTTTACAGACTTTACAGAATGGCTGAAAATGGCTAAAAAAGGATACTCAAAATTAATAGTAATATCTTTCCATCGATGTTGGAATTCAAGAGCGTCATCATCTTTGTGTTCTTCAAAGATGTCAAGTTGAACATTTAAATCATCATTTTCAAGATCGCGTAAGTCCTACAAAACACAATCATATCTTATTATATGTATTCCAATACACTAGTCTTTATAACAATCTTTCCACTTTATAACAGATTTTGCATTTACATTTTTTATATTACAAACAACAGTACAAGTAAGAATTATATTGAGCATTATAAAATAAGAAATAAGTTGGTTGTCATGCAATCAGAAATGAGTAGTTTCTGTAGGTACCATATCAAGAATGTACATACCTGTACAGCTTCATTTAGTCCTTCCCTAATAAATTCATTTCTAAGATGCAATCTGAAGTCCAGCTCTGTCGGTCCACTAACTAGTGCATTTATAAATTGGATACAYGCAACCTGACGAATATCAAAAATGTCTTGTTGATAAGTTAAGTTATAGATTGAGCTTTTAAACAACACGGTACGTTGTTTTCTTTGTTTATGTACACAGGTATTTCACAGATACCCAAAGCATATTTATCTCGACAATAATTATAATATAATTATAGTATAAAAGGTTCTCAAAAATTTAAATGTGTGTATATTTTAATACTAGCAATAATCAATATCTTTCAATTCATGGATTAATGCTACTGAAAAGTGTGAAGGTGAGCAATAAATTGGAATATACATATAACAAATACAGTGGATTTTTTCGTATGACTGTGCAAAAATCACATTACTTTTGCACTGTGACCGTACTGTGCCGTAGCGGTGATGTTTTGTTAAATCTTAATTTTTATTTGGAATCCTAGAAGGCGAGGTTCTGTGRYCGTGCTGTGACAGTGTTGCTGTGATCTGTGCCRTTGCACAGTCATACGAAATCTGCTCTAACACAGTTTATTGAGTATATTTCATTATACCTTGAGTGCAGTGTGGTCATCATGTAATGCTTGTACTATTTTAYTAAAACGTCCTCTTCTTTTCTCCATTTCACCACAAATGGTAATAGCTTCAAGGGTTCTTTCATGCCTAGGTAATATAACAAACAGTGTTTTAAGTGTACAAAATATAACGGACAAAACATTGGTATATAATATGAAGTGGTGTTTAGTTTATATTAGAATGACTTGTGTCTGTGACTTAGTAGATCATCCCGCTCGCGATGCCAAATGTGACTGGGTGGTCCAAATGATAAAATTAGTTGTTCATATTATGATCATGTTGATATAAGTTGTTGGAGAAGCAGAGAGAAAACTAAACACAACCAACTCTGGAGCAGAACTGATTTACTTGCATAAAGCGTGCATGTTACAAACATGATCTCTCACGCAATTTGCCAACTATGTATGTGTCGTAATATTGACCTTGTCATACAAATGAGCCAATTATCACTTTTTAAGACCCAGGTGTCTCAGAGGACCTTTGTCATTTTCTCCATCTTACCACAACAAACTGTCATGAAGGTTCTCTGACACATGGATTTTAAACAGACAAACTGAATGAGATGGTTCGCAGGTTAAATAATAGGTAGTAAAAAGACATGGAATAAATATATCCACTTACTCAACAAGACAAACAGCAGCAATAACTTTTACCACGTCTGTCATCATGCTTGGGTAATTTGGATCCATGGATCGCGCAAGCAGTGTYARGCCATCTTTACTTTTTAATGTCAGTGATAAGCCATACTGTTATCAAGTAAAAAATACATACAATCAACAGGGTTGGAGTTTGCTTGGTTTTGAGGAAGGAGTYTGTRAAGAACTGCAGTGAAGTTCTGAGWTTGACTTGTGGAAGTTATAAATTGAACCAATCATGATTGTTCTTCGATTGTTTGGAGTTTATTTACCTTATTGTTCATAAAAGCTTTTAAACATCTCACACACTCATGTTGTATTCGTTTTTCTRTTTGCCCTTGGCTTGAGCATGTAGTTCTAAGATGGTTTAGCAAACAAGTCATTCCTGGTTCACCAAACTCCTGGATCCAACTAGAAAGGAAACAATACAAAATATCAAATTACTTGTTTCTTGATATGCAGCACAAAGGCCTGTACATTGTAATTTAGCAATGGGGATGACCAATAATTTACGTGAAAGCTTCATATTTTTTTAATTACAATTAGCATAGCAGATGCTATATGMTATTTTCACATAAAAGGGAAATTTAATAGCAACTTTCTTGTCATAATATTTAGGAATGTTTCCATCATTACACTAAACAAATCAAGCAAAACACAGTATTCTACCATTAGGTCTTATTAAACGAGCGTGAGGTCTGTTCGGGAGAATCTTGACTGAGGTCGGGAACTACAGACCGAAGTCAAGATTCTCCCGAACAGACCGAGCAAGCTTGGTTAATAAGGATTTTATATGACCGATTGCAAAAGACTGAAAATGAACACGGTAAACATTTAAATGGCTTTATTACAAAACAGGACTCAAAACCTGATTCAGACCAATGAAATCATGACTCGCTTGCGCACGGAGTGTGGTAAAAAAATCAAAACTTGGTAGTCAAAATGTTTTGTTTTCTCTACAAATGAGTTTCAATTTATACAGGCCCCGGACCGGTCTTCCTAGGAGAATCTAGACCAGAGCGAAATCGAATTCAGCCAATCAAATGCCTCCATTTGCTAGCGCCCAGACTCCTAGTTACACGGTCATATAATAAATTTAAATTACTTCCCACAACCTCAATTATAACATCTGTATTATTATCAATTTAAAGACTTGATAGTRAATAAAACAAATCATTGTTTGTCAAATTAAGTGCAATTAGCAGTATTATCATCACTGCATTTGTACCTGACACAAACTGGGCAAAATATGGCAAAAGGACAAAATTAGGGAAGTAGCACTGATTATTTATCTACCTTAACGGTCTGCCCGTTAACGATACTCTGCATGATTGTAACATTTTAAGCAAATGTTCAGGTGTTACGTCAGTYTTTTGAAGTTCTCTAACATAGTCACTAGCAGAGGATGGTCCTTCCGTTGAATCTTGCTGTTGATAATACAAGTAACAACTAGGGTTTTAGTAAAATAGACTATGGAGATAAGAGGAAAAATAACTTTATCCTATTAATTTCCATTGTATAAAAATTTACATGAAAAAGTACAAT